AGCATACAGAATCACAGAATGGCTGAGGTTGGAAAGGACACCTAGAGAACATCCAGCGCAGCCCCTGTTCCAGCAGGGACACCCAGACGCACCCAGGTGGGTTGGGAAGATCTCCAGAGCAGGGAAGATCTCCAGCCTCCCTGGGCAGCCTGGGCCAGGGCTCGGGCACCCTCACACCAAACAAGTTCTTCCTCACGGCCACACGGAGCTGCCTGGGCTTCACCTTGTCCCCACTGCCCCTTGTCCTGGCACTGGCCACCACCCAGAAGAGTTTGGCCCCTTCCTCCCTCCATCCTCCCCTCAGGTGTTTGTCCGTGTTGATCAGATCCCTCTCCCCCTTCTCTCCTCCAGGCTCAACAGGCCCCGCTCGCTCGGTCTCTCCTCACACGAGCTGCTCCAGCCCCTTCCCCATCCCTGTCGCTCTGCGCTGGCCCCTCTCCAGCAGCTCCACGTCCCCCTTGTCCCGGGGAGCCCAGAGCTGCCCCCAGTGCTCCAGGTTTGGCCTCCCCRGAGCGGAGCAGAGGGGCAGGATCAGGATCCCCTCCCTGTCCTGCTGGCCACGTCCTCCTGATGCAGCCGGGAGCCCACTGGCCTCCTTGGCCACGAGGGCCCTGCTGCCCCACGGTACGGTGACAGACCATGGGCCCAGGCGCAGGGAACGCGCGGTGACGCTGCAGGGACAGCGGCTCCGGGCTGGCAGTGCCTCCCACGCGGGCCGCGGTGCTTGGCACCGCAGGGGCGGCCCGAGCAGCCACATCCCCCTCTGCCCGCACACCAGCTGCTCCTTCATCACAGTTATCCGGTACAGCACAAAGCTACCTTGGCATTCGAAGCGTCCTGATCCACCTTCTTTCGTGGCGGAAGCGGAGGAGGGTTCTGAGGCTCATCGCTTAGCTTAGGGAAGCTCCCCCACGAGCTGAAGAAGGACTCTGGGGAGAGAACAGGGATCTTACCGCCCGTGGAACATCAGAGTATTAAACTGGAAGAGAAGCAACTCAAAAACTCAAATGGATCTTCCTACCCAACAGCAACATCAGCCGTTCACTGCAGCTGGATGAAACTCTCTTGCCTGTGTTTCTGTAGCCAGAAACACTGCTCACAAAGCAGTCTCCCACTTCCAGCATCAGGGAAAGGCAGCAACAGGAAATGTTAAAGCACAGAAAAAACAAATAAAATAAAAAAGAACCTCTTGTGAAAAAACAAACCTAGGGAGCACGGAAGTAGCGTTTGAAGACATCAGCTCCCACAGCATTTTATGTTGCTTTTGGCCATTTTTCCTTTTTAAGGAGGAAGGAAAAGGCTTCAAGTGAAAAAACAAAACAACCCCTGACCTTTGTGCCTTTTATCCAAGTGCTTCTACTGGAAGGGCAGAGTGCAGAGCACCTGTGAGCTCCAATTTGAATTTTCAGTTCAAATAAGAAAGGCAAACATGTAGCTGTGCAGGAAGGGAGTAAAAGGAGAAGCTGAACACAGATAAAATACACAATTTCCCTCACAACTGGGGTACAGAAAGTACCTCTTTCTTCTCCAGTAGTAGAGCAGCTACTTCCACAAAAATATTGCTAAGGCTAAAGGATCAGGTCACTATATTTGTACTGTTAGCCAAACAAAATAATCATCAGGACAGGACATGCCAAATAGAAGCAAAATCTTGTGACAGCCTTGGGAACAAATCAGACAGTTCTTGGGCCTTATAAATGACTTCACTGGACACCACCTAAAACCTGTAAAAAAATCCACTTCCAAATCCATTCACTGATCTCAGCCCACACTTGCAAAGGCAGATCATTTACTATTTACTTCTGCTGCAATGAGGAGAGCAGAGTTAAGCGAAACATTAATGGAGTTATTACAGTACTCACTCGACTGTGGCAGACTGACAGGCGCAAAGATGCTGTTATTACCTGTTAAAAACCAAAAACAAAAAAAGGATTAAAAACTTATGTGGCAAGAGCTGCAACTGCACCACAGCATATACGGTATGTGTGTGAATGACTGCAGAAGAGCAAAACATCCTCAAGTTTATCTGCTGCTAATGTGAATTATGTTTTCCTATGTAAAGTGTTCTCGAACATTTAAAGTTATGTTGGGAATTAATTTTATTGTTGATCTTATTCTGCTCTGACACTACCATGTTKTTATTCACTTCTGCTACTGTCCACATTCCCCMTCACTTTGCAGAATCCCAGAATCCCAGCTTGGCTGAGGTTGGAAGGGACCCCTAGKGATCCCCMAGCGCAGCCCCTGCTCCMGCAGGGACACCCAGAGCACGGGGCACCCGGGCGCATCCCGGCGCCTTGGGAAGATCTGCAGAGCAGGAGCCTCCGCAGCCTCCCTGGGCAGCCTGGGCCAGGGCTCGGGCACCCTCACACCAAACAAGTTCCTCCTCACGGCCACGTGCAACTTCCCTGGTTTCAATATATACCACTTGAGCTCCAAACAGTACGTACTTACAGCTTCAAACAGTACAGTGTGCAGCACTGACACACAAACCCCACAATTAAACTTTTCAACAATTTCTTTTTAAATCTGACAGAGACCAACATATTTCAGGACTCTGAGCTACAGTAACAAGACCACATACTGCATCCTTACCAAAGGAACTGTTGAGATCAATGTCCAAAAACACACTGAACTCCGACGACGCAGACACCGGCGGGGTAGACGGCGTATTTGGAGAAGTTGGTGCTGAAGCTGTTGATTCATTCTCTGCCTCGGTTATTCTGCTGAAACTTATCTTACTGGGTTCCTTCTCGAGGGGCAGAGGGTGACTTCGCAAAGTGCCCGAGGTGGAGCCATGCCTGCCCGYGTTGGGCCTTATCCCAGGAGATTTTAAGGGGTATGTTGTTTTCCTAGGCTGGAGAAAGCAAAGCTGGTCAGGACTGTCAGCATTCGGAGAGCAAAACTGCCAAGTTTCTAGAATATGACTGTAAAAGGCACTTATCAAATACACTTTAAATGGTATTACAGCTTTTTCACTACCAGCTTGAGGTACAACTCAACTTGTTATTTATGCAGCAAGAGTTTACAGAAAAATTATGGATATTTGTTTTGCATGACAGACCATTTTTCCGCGGCTATGGTGAATRAATAGTCTGGTTTCAGACGCGTGTCAGCCAGGACAAGAACCGGGATTCAGGACAAGTCATGCTCCAAGGGGAGGGTTATTTCAAGGGCCCCAACAGGCAAAACTGCTTCAAGCGACAGCAGCCCAAGGTGCATCCCGCGCCTGGGCGCACCCTCTGCGCCGACTCCGGCTCTGTCGGTCTGAAATTCCCCCTGGAACCCGGGGTGAGTGAAAAGAACGGATCAGAGGTAGGAGGAGCAGAGCGCTGGGCAGGGGGTCGCACTGCGTCGCGCTGCCCCCGCGGCGGTGCCGGCCTCGCTGGGAAAGCCTCRACTGCAAGAGGCAGCTCCCACCAGCGGGACGGGAGCAGGGATGGCTACTTGCAGGACAAGAAAAAAAAATCCTTGAGAAATTACTGAAAGCAGCATTTTTTTGCAACAGTAACTTCTGTAATTTTCTTGCTGTACTTGCAATGTTACTTCAGTCACTCCTCTAACAGAAGGGTGCTAAAATGATTTATGGCTCTGCAGGATTAGAGAGCTCTCAAATTACTCACAAGTACAATCACAGTGGTATAAAATCAAGTGTTCCAAGGAGCTATATTTCAGCTTTAAAATAATTCCAGTCTTTACAAGCTAATTGTTCAAAAGCATACTCATTGAGTTGCTACTCAACTGAGTTCTATTTTGTGCTGCAATATTTTCTCCTTGTCACTCCTGTTGTATCAGGCAACTTTTGCAATATTGCAAAATATTAGAAAAATGCTGAATGGAAAATATTGTACTTTGAGAAAACACAATATGCTACTACATATACAATTCTTCTTTTCAAAGCCTTTTATTTCCCTTTCATAAGAACTTTTGATATCATGATATGATGTTATCACATATTTTATCAAATGACTACATGGTAAGAAACAAATTTTAACTTCCCATTTGGGAAAAAAACTGTTTATTCTAAGATAAGCCAAAGGTGGTAGGTTTTTACTAGCCATAAACATCTGAAATAAAAAGATTTTTAAATCAACTTTTGCTAGAAAATCATCTCAAGATAGGGAATTCTGAAGGATATTCTTACTGAGTTAACTATTCTTTTTCAAAGTGGCTACTGGATTTTAGATATTGAACTTACAAGAAAAGACTTACAAATCTAGGTGGTTGCTTGCAGTTTCGAGGTTCAATTTCTAGAGACTTATTAAACAAATAATCTGTAAACTCTTTTTCCGGTATCTTCCCCATAGGATTGAGATTTTCAAAGAATTTCTAAAAAGACAGAAGCATCAACAGATATTTTATATATACCTATATTATATACCTAGTTTTTCTCTTTTTTTTTAATGACATGCTTGTAATTTACTGAATAAAAATGTAGCTATTTTTGATTTTTTTTCCCTCCAGGAAAAATACAGTAAAAAGCTGCCCAAAATAAAACCAAAACATGAAAATACAACAAGTCATCAAATTCAGGGTAGSTCTTCCTGATTCGAAAGAAGGACCTCAGCTAACTAGCCACGTACAACAAGGCAAGTCACAATGTTTCCTATTTGCTTTCCTTCCAGAATACTGCCCATTCCGTGAGGGGACCATGTCTTCATTCCCAAATTTACTGTAAATCTCCTAATTCCTCCTGAGACACCCGCAGCAATGCAAGGGACAAGGCAGGACCCCCTCACACAGCAGCACCAGGGCCCGTTTGCTCGTTTATGCACGAGCTTTTTGCAGCTTCCTGATCACTCTCGTGCCCTGCCTGAGGCTGGAAACTCGTTTCTGGAAACGAGTCGTGCCCATCAGGACGTATGGCTGGGGACTTCAGCTATTCCTTGCAATTACTGTTACCTTGATATACAAATACCTACCTTTAGCTGGTCCCTTGTTTCACCATCTTCCTTTAAATCCCTTCAAATTATCTGGGATTCTCTAGTCTTTGTCTTAAGGCAATGCTCAAGGACACATGAGCATCCCCACAACTGTTCTAATTCCCTGAATTTCACGGCCTCTGAATGTCAGCGGGCAGGGGACCCTATGTCAGAAGTGTCACTACAGCAACTCTGAAGGACCAAGTGCACTGGACACGCAGAGAGCACTTTAGGCTCTTTTTGAGCCTAAATGATCTTTTTTCTTTAAAAGTATGCTGCTTTGTATCTCATTCGCTCTGCCCCGTTGCTGGAAAAGCTCCCAAACACGCAGCTGCATAAGAGTGAGGGGCTGAATGTGACCAAGAGGATGGAATCCTTGAGCCCAAATCCCCATTTCAGGCTACTCTGCTGCCTCGTTCAGCCACTGCTCCCCCTCCTCCCGTGGGCGCTGCTCTCGTAAGATTAAGTCTTGTACTAGAAGAATATTTGACTTCTTTTTTGTAGTGTACATTTTTTCCCCTCTCCTATCCCCAAAACAGATACTCAGTGACTGGTTACCCGAATCTCTGGCTCGATCCGTAAACAGTAAGGCTGGTTTTGATACTGCTGAATTTCTCCTGTAATTTCAGCTACTTTTCTCCTCTTACTGAAGTTAATTAGTTCTTTCCCTTGTCTTTTAAGGAAGTCAGGATTCCCTTCTTCTGTCTTCAAAATATTTGTTAGATATATTCCTGAGAAAAAAAGGAAGTGGATTTTAAAGTTCATAATTGATTCCAAGCCCTAATTTAATTCTTTTTAGTCAATAATAACAATTTCAATCATAATCAGACCTTTCCTTTAATGCTTCAACAATTTATTAGCAGTCAAGAACAAATGAGACCGGCATTTACACGGAATATTATTGAATATTATTGAAAAAGGTATATTAATTAAAGTACGTTATTGAAAAAAGATCTTTTATCTTCTTAATGTGAGATCCAGAGTTTAATAAAACAGTTTGAACATGTTGTCATAATCAGTTCCCCAATTTGGAAGCAGTGTTAAGCAAAGTACGGTAATATTAATACCAATATAAAACATCACTAATCTGTATAATAAACTGCAAAACCTCCAGATGAGACACAGTTTAAGAAAGGCAACACACCAAAGCACAGCCCATTCTGGTGTACTTACCGAAGAAAGGCACACAGGGTGGATTAATTGACTTAAGCTTAGCTAGGTATTTTTTAAAGTGATCTTGACTTAGTTCTACTGCTTCATCCAAGACTCTTTTTTTTCTTTCTTGTAGTGCCTGAGTTATTGGAGAGGAAAAAAAAAGAAAGAAAAAGGTTATTTTCTGAGCAGCATGGTTAGCTAGAACCAGATGCTCCATAACTCYTATCCACACCCTCATAACTGAAATTCGGCTGTTGAAAGAACCTCTTTTGTAAATGGCTTCCTCTGAACTACAGCATCATACAAGTCAGTCATGTGAATCACGAGGCTGTTATAAACAAACTATTATTTACCCTATCAATGCATAAACATAATCCTATTCTTTTAATTTAATAAGAAAATAAACAATTTTCAATTTAAGTTAAATATCCTGCACGGCCTTTCAAAGATATGTAAAACTCAAAACATCTTGTTGGAGTTTCCTTTCCCTGCCCAGTGCAGTGCTGCTGGGGAAGTGCTCAAGTCCCACGTTCTCCGCCCTGGGATCATCCTTCATAACCATGAATCACTGCACTGAAGCAACAGGTTCATGAGCAACAATCAATTGCACTTAATATAAATGAGAAACCAGGTGCCAAAAGGCTYCTCTTCCCGTTGCAAACCCTTTGAAATGCCCAGCTTTTATGCTTTCTCACAAATAACCTTAAACATTTGCTTTCCAAAAGGCAAGGGAGACTTGGATCTAACATAATGCAGTGTAAAGCACAGCTGTGATGCATTTCTGCTTCTGATTAGGTTCTTTCAAGAGCGATTCCTGGGACTTACCTCAAATGTGTGGTCTAGTCTGTACACTGATACAGAGTTCATGGCACTGACTATCTCCAAAACACCATTGAAATTGTTCAGATCTTGAAAAACCTGCAGGATTTCTATAATTCTACTCAGCACAGCCACTCGCTCTTCAAAGTTCTCTGTTTCCACAATGCACCTAATCAAAAGACATAATTTGAGAAACATTGYTAAGTAAAATGTGACCTTTTGCTCGCTGCTTCTTGTTTGGTGCACAACCGAGATTTGAGGTAATGGGAGAGAAAAACATCTCTCTCTGAACTTCAAGAGGAGTCAATGTCACTGCACTAACACTGCTTGTACTTACTTTTCAAACCACAGAGTGAGATTCGTAGTGTGACGAATCATTTTCAATAGATTGGGCGAGTTAATTTCCTTATCTTCTTTAGTCCAAACGCTACCAACAAGTTCAGAAGGCTGCACTGCCCTGGTAAGGACAAAGCAAGATGTACAAAAATGTTCAGTACAAATAATAATTATCATAGGTTCCATGTTTTGCATCTAAAGATTGTTTCTTCTCTTAACCATGGCTTGGTATTTCTTAAATAAGATCCAATGTAACCTACTGCAAAACAGCTACAAGACTGATACTTGAAGAGAGAAGAAAATCCACCTTTATCTTAACTGAAATTGGCATTTTTGAATAAGCATTTTCACACAAGAAAATTACAAAGCAGTAAGTTCAACTTCCTAGAAAATGGAAGAAATAAAACTTAGAGAAAAATAACATATTTTTGAAATAGGAAGTTGAAGCACCTCAAGCAGCCTGCTAGAAAGGTGGCCTATTTCAACAGCAAACTTGTCACTGAAACAGGATCCCAGAATGGCTGAGGTTGGAAGGGATCCCTAGGGATCCCCCAGTGCAGCCCCTGCTCCCGCAGGGACACCCAGAGCACGGGGCACCCGGGCGCATCCAGGCGCCTTGGGAAGATCTGCAGAGCAGGAGCCTCCGCAGCCTCCCTGGGCAGCCTGGGCCAGGGCTCGGGCACCCTCACACTGCACGAGTTCTTCTCCAGAGCTCCTGCTCTGCAGATCTTCCCAAGGTGCCTGGATGCGCCCGGGTGCCCCGTGCTCTGGGTGTCCCTGCTGGAGCAGGGGCTGCGCTGGGGGATCCATAGGGGTCCCTTCCAACCTCAGCCATTCTGGGGTTCTGTATTTTTCCAACTCATTATATGAATTAGCATTTTTTTTCCTCTTGCTCCTCGGAAAGAGATATGTGTCAGTTCAACACCTACCTATACAGGTCGGACTCGAGAAGCGTCAGCTGCCGGGCGATTTCTATGGGATGAAGCGTCATGAGGTCCAGGGTCTCGGGGTGCCCGAGGCGCCAGATGTGCCACTCCACRGGCGGCGGGGGGCTCTCGAACGTGATGTTGTGGCTAACGCCGTTCGCTTGAGCTTTCTTTCTCTTGATGATTTTAGCAATYGATTCCACCCACTTCTTCATGGATTTTCCTGCAGAACAGAAAAAGAAGAAAAAAAAAGAAGAAAGATTCATAACATCCGATTTCTGGTAAATGATTTAATGAAATTGGACAAGCCTGTTTTCAAGGTTCTGAATCCTAAAGTCCATTTAATTTTATAAAATTAATATGGGAAAGAAAAGGCAAAACAAATCTGCAAATGCCTCCATAATGCAACATTTTTGTATGCAAAGTAATTACATTTGCACTTCCCTATTTGTTACTTAGGGACATTTGCACCCATACCAGTTTGCAAATACAGACCTAAATAAAGGTATTTCTGGGCACCCAGCTGTGTTTAATAACACGTACAGACAGTCCTGGTGAGAGAAAAGTGACCCTGTATATTTGCTGTATCTTACTTTTTTCCTCAGCTACAACCATCTCCAATAGCAGAAGCATCTTTAGCAGGTCAAGGCAAATATCTTTTAAGAGACTAATCAAAACTGAATTGTCCTTCTCTGCTCAGCAATATGTAAAATAGAGACCTCTGCAAAAGACAAACCAGCATTTGCTGTCTCCGAGCTGTACTGCTGACCAGAGAGCCTGGCAATCTGAAAAGGGACGTGCAGCATGGCCAGGATAATGAGGAAAACTGAGCGGCCACCAGGACTGCCCTCCCCAGAGCTGCTCAGAGGGGTCTGGCCCAGAGGAGGCGACACCAAATGGGCCAATCCTCCCACCCAGAAGAAATTGTCTTCAGGGAGAACTTTGAGTAAATGGGAAAGAAGTGAGAGAGAAAAACTATCTCAGTAACCAAAAGAAGGAATTATCCTGGAATCTCACGCAAGGAAGAAGAAGGCCTCTTGACTCTGTGAGGAAGCTATGGAGGGTGATGGATATCCTCAGGCATGGAGGAACATTCCTGCCCAGAAATGRATACACTCGAAGCTACTGCTCCAGGGCAAAGCTCCTTCATGTAAATGGGACTCTCATAAACAGCTTTATGAAATTTAAATTATTCATTAAAATTACTTGTATGTGTAAAGACATTCCCATGGCTAATATCTGTCAGGATCAGACTGACAGGTTATGTTATAATGTGGAAGATCAACACAAAGGACCACGAATTGCCATACCTCTCACACTGGAAATGAACGTCTCCAACCTCTCCAGCAACTCCAGATCTCTTTCAAAATCATAAAAATGGTGCTCCACCCAGTGCCGAAAAACATTCAATATTCTGAGAAAGGACAGAAAACATCAAATATTATATTTTGTTTTTAAAAACATGGAAACAGAATGAAGTCCAATTCTAAAGAAGCTGAGTTACAAATTTGTGTAATGAAAGACTGTAAAATACATACAGACATACAGCATGTGCCAGTTATTGCAGAAGTCCTCAAGGGTTCAGAGCCTAATGTTCCAACATTATCATATATATGTAGCTTTTTGGTTTTGTTTTTTTACTTTAAATAAAGTGCTGGTGTTGAGATGGTTTCAAAAGAGGGAATAAAAACATCAAAAACAGATAAAATAGGTACTTCTAATGTAACTAGAAATTAATGCAAATCTCTATTTTAACTCCAAACCTAATTAAGATCTACTATTTCAGCTCAGAAGTTGTTGCAAACACCTTACCTTTCTTTTGCATCATTTTATTTATACAAATGATACTATAGGATCCAGTGCTTCCTTTACAGATGCCACTATAAGCTTTCTCATGATTTTTTTTCTACACTTTCCTACACACTCCACTAAAAAAATCTGCCTCTAAAGCTAAGCTACAGCTGCCCTCGCACTTCCAGCTCTTAAGATGCAGTGAAAATAGAAAAACTTTGGATTTTTGCTTCTTCTTCAGGTGAAGGAGCTGGGCTCCTACCTCAAGCCTTTGCTCACTGGGTTGCACCTGACCTGATCCACRAGATAAAGTCTCCTAAAACGGATTTTTCCTGCGCTGCTCCAACAGGGACAAGGACCTGAGGAGAGCAGAGTTTGCAGTCCCAGGTTCGGACAAGCTCRGGGACGGACGCTGCGAGATTCGGCCACTCCACTGCCTGCAGACCACTAATGATCTCCCAGTTCATTAAGGCAAACTCATGCTAATTGTGGCTTTCCTTTAAATATTACACTGCTGTTTGGGGTGGYTCGGTCTTGGGCAGGGGGTGCAGGAGCCTCCAAGAGGGACAGGGCAGCCAACTGATTTGGGGCTGCCAGGTTTGGGGAGTCGGAGCAGCAGCAAGGCTGGCTCGTTGGGTTTAGCCACATGAAGAGATACGTGTGATCTGTGTGAACACACCGAGGCARTAACACTGGGAAGAGCAGAACTATTTAAGGTAAAGAACAAAGTTTACCCCATGAAAAAAATGGCTACGCAGACTATTTAGGCTGGAAATTAATGACAGTTTCCAGCCATCAAAGGAGTGATGTTTTGGAACGAGTTCCCAGTAACAGGCACGCAGACGCTTATCTAATCAGCCTTTGTCTTGGAGATGCCACGGTAGGAATACTGAAAAAGCAAGAAAAACTGCCCGGTTGGGCTGACGGCATTTCTGGCTTGACAGCTCCTCTTTCTCAGGCCCTCGCATGGATTTCATCTAGCCAAAAACTCTGGAAACTTTGGAATGGGCTGCAGGACCCAAAGAGCTCGGGGGTTACATGGAGGATACACTAGAGAATCTTTTAGAGAACATTTTATATTTTTATATATAGCTATATATTTGCATACACAAAAGAGAGACCTCCAAGGCCTTTCTGAACATGTCTGGAAGGCACTGGCAGGTCAGGATAACTCTCCTCTTCTGGGCAAACTGCTGTTGCTCCAAATACATTGTTAGGAAGTATTGTGTGTGGTGAGGGCGGAACTGAAGCTACTGTCCATAAAATGGCAGTTATCTGCCATTATATTATTAATAACACCAAGCTGTTATTAACAGCCTTATTAATAAAAGTTGTTCTAATAAATGTTGGGCTGTGATCTGTGTCTCTTCCTGACTCAAAGCCTGTCAGAGCAACTCACAGCAATTAGCTGCATTCAGCCTAGAGTCGCTTCATTGTTCTCCAAGTTGGCTTGGTCAGCAAGAGCTCGAGGATTCACTGCAGCCCGTCCGATGCGCGGCCTAGACAAGACCCTCCCTGTCTGCGTGCAAACGCATCAAGAGTGAAACACCAGCAGGACGGAGAAACATGGGAACGGAGAAACTACCTTCCCATGAACAAGGAATCCATTCAAAATGCTGTCAGAAATACTCGGACACCTCTCACCCACACCCACCGCACACGGCAGCCATACAGCGTTCCTGTTGGTGGTGCAGATCACAGCCGCGAGCAGCAGGGAACCAAAGTACGGCTGTTGCAACAACAGCAACAACAACAGGAATCAGTGTGACTAATCAGAACACGGTTTGGGCTATTAGCCTGGCTGCAAACCAAGATAAGTCCCTGCTCGATGGGACAGCAGTCTCCAAAAGGGATTACTGTGTCCAGGAGCAGAGCATAATCACTGGGCTCAAATCTGCCCCTGACAGAGCAAATTTAAAAGCAGATAAACCTGAGCTGGACTGGCTGGACATATTCCTTGCGGAACCGCTTCAGGTCGGCGCTGATGGGCTGCTCCCCTTTCTCGATCGCCTGCCTGTCTGCTTCCGTGGGCTCAGGCTCGGGGATTTCAAACCTAGGGACACAAGCAAACCAGTGCTCATTAAGAYAAAACACAGTCCCTTTACGTACGACATGGAGAGCAATTACACCTAAAAAATTCACTGCAGTGAAAGTAAAGCTCTCATCTACGACCCAGTCTGCCTGGAAAGTCCTTCCTCCCTGGCCACGCAGTACTAATACATCCAGCTCTCACCGGATAATTCCCTAGTTCCCTGGTCATCACAAGATGTCTAGACTAGGATATAAGGTTTTCAGCTACCTGCCAACTTGATTAAGCAAGGATTAGAAGAAAGCCCAAGAGCTGCTTTATCACRCTGCATTAAAACGTTTGCATTAATAGTCTGTGCCAATTAAACCAACTGCTTGGAACATTTTAGTTCTTATTTGCATCAGTAGCACGGCAGACTCGGATACATTCCCCTGTTCAAAAGCTTGACACCTCTCGCCACGGCACACCCAGTGCTCCAGCTGCTATTTAATTCACATCAGTCATTTAACAACTGGAAGAAAAAGCAGCTTGTACTAAAGACTCGTATCGTTACCCCTTTCTAACAACGTTACTGCTTCGTGAACTTCGTTTTTCAGGTTTGCTAAGACTTGTATCACATGGCACAGAGAACCTGGGCCGGGAGGAGCAGGTGGGGAGGAAGCACAAAGCCTTTCAGCATCCTCTCAGCAGCCGACTGCGCTTACCTCTCRATCAGCAGGCTTAGCAGCTCCTGGGGCTTGCAGAAGGAGCGGTAGGTGGTAAGGAAAGTCCGAACAAAATTAGGGTCTGTGAAGATAAAAGAGAGAAAAGGATGGAGTGTTTTTTACCTGATTTCAAACACTAAAAACAAGAAAACCACGTGTGTTCCTAAGAAAAGCAGAAGTTCAAAGCCCTGGAACCATCCTGAGGTGAGTGTAATTTAGGATGTACCAGAAGTACCTCTGTCTGTGAGGTTTTCACAGAGCCTCCTCTTTCTGCAGGGCCCAGGTTGGGCCYGGGGCTTCCTCACCCGCTCAGGCCTTGTTCCCTAAGGCAGCGTGGCCGCGGGAGGAGGAGCGGGCGCCTCGGTGACCCCTGTGAGGACCGACCCTCCATCCACAGCCCGGAGCTGCCCCRTGTGCGGCCAGGCCTCTCGTCCAGCGCCCGGCTCCCGCCAGCCCCAGCACCTCCCCGGCTGCTCTGCCTGATCCGCAGCCACGCGGGCGAAAAATCAGAGCCTCCTGACTCATGTGCTGAGCACAGGCTGCCCCGGACAGCGAGCAAGGCGGCACCAAGCATAAACACCCTCCATCGTGTAATTAGAGACTAGGGACGCAGCTGCCTAAAAAAATAACAATAAAATCCTTATTAAATGTTTAGCTTTAATTAAACATAGTTTCCCTATTTCCAATTCCGTCCCCTTTGTTTCTTTTAATCATGCTCTTTAATATAGAGTTTCTTAGACTGGGAATAAGCAAGCAGATAAACAGAATGTCTCCTGGGTACCTCCAATGGGGACTTCTTAAGCAAAACAGAGCCTGTAGATGGGCAGGAGCAGTTAAAAATCATGTTTTGACCCAATTATAAAGTGCCTCCAAGATCTGTGATTCTGTGATGTGCTCAAAGTCCCTCCACACACTGACAGTTTCTGCAGGCAGAAGGACAGCACCTGGGAGCGTTATTATGGCATGCGGCTCGACACAAACTTGTTTCAGCTGTCACAGCAAAGCACATGACTCAAAAGACTCGTCTGAATCGCAGACCTCACTATCGCTAGACAAACTCTGCTTTGCAGTGGTCTAGAAGTTGGTGGACTCTAAATCCCAGGTGCTATTTTTAAAGTAGCAGCCTTTCAAAAAACACAACGCAGGCCATTAGTTCCTGAGAARTTTTATAAAATTTCCTGTGGCATCAGGAAGTACATGAAGCGGGAATGTAGGGAGGAAGGGGCCAAACTCTTCTGGGTGGTGGCCAGTGCCAGGACAAGGGGCAGTGGGGACAAGGTGAAGCCCAGGCAGCTCCGTGYGGCCGTGAGGAAGAACTTGTTTGGTGTGAGGGTGCCCGAGCCCTGGCCCAGGCTGCCCAGGGAGGCTGCGGAGGCTCCTGCTCTGCAGATCTTCCCAAGGCGCCKGGATGCGCCCGGGTGCCCCGTGCTCYGGGYGTCCCTGCTGGGGCAGGAAGGTTGGACTACACAATCTCTAGAGGTCCCTTCCAATCTTAACCACTCTGTGATTCTGTGACCAACGTGTTAACTGTGTTACCTGTGCAGTCCGACTCAGAGCATCCCTTCCAACCCCAGCCTAACACCTACCAAACTCTTGCATCACCACTAGTATTTCATGCCATTATTTCTGTCCACCTTTCTGTGGCTTTTTCAGGAAAGCCACCCTGTTTGCTAAKAGATGCAGGTTATCTCCTCAAGCCTTGCCTTATGCTTAACTATATGTACCAAAAAAGCAAGCCAAAGCAAAAGGATTAATTGCATCACCCATACAAGCCCCATCTTAAAAAAAAAACATTTTAAAGAAAGAAATATAGAAAGAGAAAATATATTTCTTTTTAAAGAAATATAAAAAATGTAAAGAATACCTGCATACATATGGTACGTTAACCTTTCGATTAACTTCACAACAGTCCCTCCTTTGATGATGGGGATTCCATTCCTGCTCTGCAAGTTGTCCTCAAAGACGATGTTCTCCTCGGAGTCCTCCACTACGAAGCGGTAGGCACTGGGGCTGGGCAGCCGCAGGGGCTGCTCGTTCTCCTCCTGCAGCAGCACCGCRTCGAGCATCCTGTCCAGCGTGCTGCGGTACTGCAGCGAGATGAGCGCGGCCATCCAGGTGCTCTTCTCCTCAGCGGACTTGGCAGCAAACAGCATGCTGTTCTCGTCCTTCGAAACGAGCTCAAAAGCATGCTTATACTCGGACGTGTCGTCTCTGTCAATAACCTGGATTTTCCTCATGGTGATTTTTTCCTTAAGTCTGTACTCCGCGTTGCTGTAACCGGGAAGCCGGGACTGGCCGTGATTGGTTTTGCAGCTGATCATTAAACCGTCGAAGAGAAAGATGTGGCGCTCGTGTTTGGCTCCTATTTTTGTCAAGGCACCTTCCATTATGAACTCGTTACAACACTGCCCGATATCCTTGCCTTCCCAGCCATCTATATTTTTCTGGATTTCATTCATTTTCTTGATGGCCAGATGCTTGCTTCTTATCTGGCGGTTATAGAAGCGACAGACTGGCTCCCTTAAATGAGAAAAAGAAAAAAGTCACAAGGGGACATGTTCCACATTTGCCATCACAAGACACTAAATGCCAATTAATTGTTTATATTGTTATTGCTTTACCCCAAAAAAGCCCTAAGCAAGTTTGGAGTTCCAAATAATTACAATGCACTGCTTTGGCTAAAGGAAGATTAAAATACCAGCGTTATACATGGAAGTGGAAACTAAGAGATTTTGGGGCTGCTATTCCGTTTAGGATGGAAACTGTCAGCAAGATCTGCCTGGAGAAGGTATCCAGCAGAAAATACAAACACAGGCATCGCCCCTCCGCTTCTTGTCCTCTCCGCCAGCCCGGGGACGTCGGGGAGCTTTGTCTGTCCTTACCCCGGGCGCCGCCTCGGCGAGTGTTTGCTGTAAATGCGCTCCATGCTGCACTGCAGGTTCAGCAGGGCAGTGATGGCCTGCTTCAAGCACTCCCGATCCTCCTCATCCTCGCTGCATTCCTGCAGTTGCTACGACACAAGAGACATTTTGCTGTCAGGTTTAGGTCATTTACAGGAGCTTGGGAACACTGGCAAACATCCTTACACAGCAGCGTTTTCCACAGCAYGAGGGAGGTCAGTGACTTCAAGTCAACAGCACAAGCTCTCCCAGGAGTACGCTCCAAACCAGCCATGCACCTACCTAAAGCAGAGGGACTCGTCAGATGTTCAGGAAAAGTCTGTAGATTTGTGGTGGGAGAGCCCAAGAGGGTGTTCAGAAAACACAGCCCTTCACTCTTTATGTTACCAAGAGATAACACTCATTGTCAGACATAGCTTTTCCTCTTATCTTTTCACTAACATCCTGCTTCACAACCGATACTAACTTTGTTCAGCATTTTGAATGATTAAATGCTATTTCATATAACTATCTACATGTAATATTCCTACAATTAGTCAACTAATCTCAACATTTCAGAGCAAGACTTAGACACAAAATGAGCAATAATCTCCCTCCTTTATGCAGCTTTGGCAAACTCCTCTAATGCAAGAAGAAACAGCAGCTTTGCACTGCAAATTCTGCCACACTGAAAGGCTGAAAATTAAGGTTTGCTACCAAGAGCACAGCGAGAATCAGCACATATCCTTTACAAAGGCCAGATTTTCCTTTGCTATAAGGTAGAAACTCCTTGAATTACAAAAAGTGGACTGGCTTTCACACCATATACATCTACYGTAGCCGCATGCTACAAGAAAAGGCTATTCCCCTTTTGGGTTCTTTAAGGCGTTCGCTCCAAAACCAGCCATTTCTTGTTAACCCCTTCCACGTTTCAGACTGCATGAACTTTCTAAAGAAAATTCAACCAGATTTGCTCAGGAAAATCAAGACAAAATGCCATGCAGTGTTGGATAAACACTGTTGTGCCTATGTACTTGAAGAGAAGCATTACTTACAATCACTGAGCATGGCAGAAGCCTTCTTTTCCTTTCCCCACTATGTTCCCTCAGCAAGGACATGTAGCTTCCTCTAAAAGTAATTGAGAGAATAGGATTTGACCAGATTGGCCCACTCCCGTTATGTATTTTAAATACCAATTTTTTTATTTTTCACATGCCCAAACAACCTCCACTTTGCATTTTAGAGAAACGAAAGCTCCACGAACAAAAAATTTCTGGGGAGTTTTTGAGCTGAGGAACAGCACAGGGAAAGGAAAATGTCTACCTGAACAGCAGGTGCAAAGTACAACACGTTTGCTAGGCAGAAAATGGGTAAATCTTTAGAAAGGACAAAAGGGTCCTGCTTTTGCCAGAGAAATATGAGAATACCAGTGGTGACAGCAAGTAATAGCTATTAAACTTAATTAAAAAAGGAAACACACTGCTTATTATAATTCTCAGAACTACTAAAGAATGCCAACCACTGTGTGCAGAGAACCCGATACTGCTATTTAATCAAGTCTCAGTACTTCAGAAATAAGACTTTTGAACGTATCTGATTTGTTTATTGTTGTGTTAAATAGCTAGGGACGAAGTAAAAATTACTTTAGCCAGTCCTGAATTCCTGCAGAGGCAGAACATACCATCCAAGAGCAGCATTTTCACAAGGAGCTACACTTCGGTAATTCGTAAAGACAGCAGTTTCTCTGTTGGTATCAATGATTAAGTAACAGTGGAAAAGATCAAAAGATAGAATTTGATACATCTTGATCAGAAGATAGCGAGTCACATGCACGAATTAGGGATAATCTCGTGTCTGAGAGTCACATGAGAAGGAAGGAGATACTCTTATCAATAAAACAGAACAGACTTGAACAGAACACATTTTTCTTTGCTTCCTTGACTTTAAAGATCCTCTGTCTAATTGGTACATTGTTCACAATTCAGACTGGTTATCCAACCCCTTGAGTTCTTTGCATTGCACTCAATAAATAAAGTTGCTTTGAATTCTGGTATCAACACACACATCTGAAAACACACCTGGAGCTGGAAAGACTGAGGAGGCACCAAAGCTCTGCTTTGCACTGCTACCATTAAAGCTCTGCTTTACACTGCTAGGAGTAAAGTTCTGCTTTACATTGCTAGCTTTAAGGATCCCAGCCTAGAAGTCCCAGGCACTACATTTTGAAACCCAGATCACTCTGATTATTGATTAAAGATTTCAGAGCAGAATATATCTGTTATCTGTCAGCATAGCTTAACCACTTTGGATCACTGCTTGCATATTTTCATCAAGACAGATGTTTTTTCTTAGCGTGGTTTCCTTGAACCTTTGCTATGACCATCCTCTGTGCAACAAGCTCTGCCCTGGTTATCTGCCAACACTCGACCACACAATTACCACCATTAAAGAAGTGTCACAGCAAGTTCTACCCTCCAATTCCAGGTTCACGGGCTGTTTCTGRCGACCTTTCCACTGCTGCTAAAGAGGATCACAGAAACCAAACCCAAACTACGTGATAAAGAGGCCACCAGCCCAAGCCAACGCAGGCAGTGCCAAGAGCACCGAGCCCTTGTGCCTCATACCTGGGCAAAAGGGACTCCCTGGTGCAGACCACGCTGAAGGCAGTCACACTCAAGGACTCCTGCACCAGCTTGAGGGAGCTGCACAGACCCCAATCCCTGCATGGAGGCAGAAGGTACCAGGGTGCAAATGTTATTCCAGCTTTCAAGACCTCTAAGATGTGTGACTGCAGCCCCACGAAGAGCTCCCTGCACGCTGTCAAAGCAGCAGACTTACAGTCTGCCAAACTCTCGGGCAAACTACTTTAGGATAATGCACAGACACCACGCTATAAGCACTGCACAGTAACATGCTGCAAAAGGTATATGTTCTTAGCACAGACATACATTTAGACTCCAAAGCACCACTCCTTTTGGTTCTCTGACCCGTTCATGCAAAAGTTTGCTTCTCTTTCCATTTTTGTAAACTTTTTTTGAACTAGTATTTGGAGCACTATTTCCATCACTTTTTGAGAGCTCATCAGAGCAATCAGAAAGCCAAGTGCCAGCTGTCACAGAAAGGCTACACCCATTAGAAAGGCCACAGGAAAGACTATTGTTTAATGTCTTGGGGTGACATTATRCATGTGAAGTGCATGTTTTTTGGTGCTGTATGTCAGACTATTCCACTGCAGCCAATGCTTTTAACAAGAAATAATRAACTAAAATATCTTTCAAGAAATTAATCAGGAGGTTACTTGTTAACTGCTTAGCTGACCATAAAAACAGGGAGGGCAAGTGACACATGGTAAGAAACCTTGAGTGTTTCAGGCCATTGCTTGATGAAAGTGACTCTTTGGACCTCAGTATTGGACAARCATGAAGAAACAACCTGTGATTTCAGTGAAGTTGTGGAGAGTTGGAGGCTGGGAGAAGGTGCTTACCGGTGCCAAGTGTGGGAACAGAAGATCTGGCCTCACCTGCACCCTGAGTCTCCTGACAAGGAGGGTGTTTTGTTCTCTGGGGTAAACACGGGAATGCATCCAGAACCCACGCTCTGGACATGCTAAAACACAAAACTAGATGACAGAGCACTAGCATTCTCCTCTCTATTTCCTGTTGTCTGTTTTCTGGTCTTCCTCCCCTAACAAAGGAAACAGCAGAACACAACAAAAAACACCCAGCAGGCTTATTCAGAGACCTCAGTATTACCATCCACGATCCTGAACCATAAAGACTGGTAAGAGACAATATAGGAACCTTTTCCTTTAATTTTTTTAATTTAATTCCTATTAGTTTCTGCACTTTGCAAAAGAGCAAGCATCATTAACTCTTCCGCAAGTCATCCGCTATTTTATTCCATCTCAATTCAGTTGTCTGAATATTTTTTGGTAAGTCCTTTAGGGTGAGCGGTCTCAAACTTAGCTTCTCTCTCCACCAAAGATTTTGGAGCTTTGCCACTTCCATTTGGCTGCTAGAGCCAGGTACAGTGGTGGCCGAGACTCAATCTATAAACTTATAACACATAAAGCTTGTAACTGCTGATAAATACTTAGTTTGTCCCTAGAAACAGCGTGTTTTCCAAAAATCACTGCTGTACATGTAAGCATGTCTTCAAAACATATCATGAAGTTTGAATTTTAAACCTGAAATTGAAGCAATCACAGGAAAAGAGTCAATATTTACCCTTATTCCTTATAGAGCAGTATTTAAGATGCTCTGTTCAGTGCTCACAAGGAGAAAATGACTGCAGAGAGGAAGGTGTCGACAACTGCAGCTCAATTCTAATTCTACTCACAAATCCTGCACACTTCGCACAAAAGTCAAATTTCATCATTCTCGTTACTAACATTTCCTAGTTAAAAAAAAAGGCTAATATTATAATTCAAGACACAAGCATAAAATAAACTAAGGAAAAGGCCAAAATTCATTCCTCAAAGATGTGAGACAATTTAAAGAATGTGCAGGTACAAGACCAATCCATCAACATCAACTGGAGTTAAGAGCTGGCTCAAAGCCTCCAAGAGAGAGAGAAAAAAATTATAGCATTGCAGATTTAAGACAGGCTATCAAAAATGAACCCTCTTCTCTGTGGTAATGGTTAGAACATAAATAGCAACCAGCCTGTCACTACAGAAACCAACTACCAAGTCTCTATGCAAAACATTTCATCTTAAATTTAAAATTACAAACCAGTCAAAACTCCCATTCAATAGTACAGATATTCATTTCAATAAAAAAATGCCCAAGCGGTAYATAGCTTAAATACCACCAAGATTTACATGCAAGTGACTGTGTCACATGCTCATGCACTTTTAGGTAACATCTTTGCAGTGTTTGGGACACCTGCAGCTTGTAAAATCATGGGAAAAAAGTATATATATTTTGAAGACTGGGACCTTGGAATTCATTCTTTAACTTCATACTGCTGCACTTCAATTCCCATCTTGAACGGGAAGCCTTCCCTGTCTGCCCTTCACCATAATGCAGGTTGCTAAAACAACTTTGCTTTCAAATGGGAAACAAGAGCATTTTAAGAAGTTCCAGAGAGTTACCACACGTRAAAATGCAACTGACCCTTGGGGAAAAGGAAGTTAAACTATTTTGAGAGGGAGACGTGTTTACAAAGCGGTTAGCGCTCGTGTCGCAGCGAGCCGGGCCGCACTGTGCCGGTGCTGACATCGTTCAGCCCTTGGATCTGCTTGAGAGCAGCTTCTTTCGTGAAGATATCCTTATAGAAACACGAGCTTTATGGAAGCCAATATTAAAAGGCAGTGTGAAGTTTCTGAGCTCCAGAGAGGCAGCGCAGCAATGCAGAGAAAAGTTTATCAAAGGTTATAGATATAAAACTTTTGTTCTAAGCTATCAGTAGAAAAGCTGATCTGAAATTTATTGAAAACACTTGGATTTAAACCTTTCCACAAAATGCTAATAATTCATACTTTGGATATATGTGGTTCGTGACTCAAATTTAGACAGTCATATTTTACTTATCTAAATAGTGATATGMAAAAAGGTACAGATAATGAAAAGTAGACTAAGCTATAAAAATTTTATGTTAAATATTAATCACAAAACTGGCCATAAAACAACGCTCTGCTTTTTAGCTTGAGATTTTATACTGAGACTTTCGATGCCATTAATAAAAGRCAGACTAAACCCACAGGATATTTCACTCACTTGATTTAAGCATTTCTTATATAACCCCTCACCTAACTCTGTAAGCCTTACAAATCCCCCCAGCACAACGGGGCAAATAGAAATGTTTTTCACAGTAACTTCAGCTATTTTAAAAAGCTCTAAGTGTTTTTCAAGAAACTCCATTTTCTACAGCAAGGCTCTTCCTTCTCATACAAGTGTGATCCTTATGGATCTCAGATGTTGCATTTTTGCTGACTGCTGGCCTCTCTCCCCTTAACTCATAGCAGAAACATTTGCTTGTAAGCAAAAGGACTGAAGCTTAGTTACTCTTTGGCTTTTAGCCCTTATACCCCAGGGAAGTATCCACTGATTGGCCTACCTTGCTAGTGCACAGAGAATAAAATGAGTGCAAGCAACCTGTGGTCAAACAAATAAAAGCTATTCTAAAATAAATAATGCTGCAAGACTCAGATTTGCCTACAAATACAGAGAAGATGCCAACATAAAGAACTGCGTTGATAAGACCCTTGAAATATATCCTACAAGAACAACTTTTCATCATCTAAATCGGAATTCCATAAAGCCTGAACATTTAATCAATGTCATTTCTTAGAATTCCCCAAATGAGAAAGTAATTATTTGTTTTCATTCCTCCTTAGTATGGAGGAAGTGTGGCATGCTTTGACAGATGGTATTTTTTGCTAAATATCTTCCATTTAGGACTCCAGACAAGTGACATTAAGAACAGATTATTCCTTCTGCTGAAAGGAAATGTCCCCCCACTCTAAGGTCAGCTGGAGTGCGACTTGAGACAGAAGACTGATTTGAATCCTTACCTTTGTCTAAACAGAATAAAAATCAGAACTCATAGAAACAATTAAAAGATTGCCATATTTCATTTTAACTATATTAAATCTGAGGTTCAATGAAAGTTTGCTTAATTTTATAAAATACATAGTTACTTTAAACATCCAGAGCAGAGCCACAGATGCTTTGGAGGATTTCTTTTCAGCGGATTTACTTTTCAGACATATACCAACAGTTAATGTTTTTCAGATTTTCACAGGCAGGGAGTAAAAATCTAGCTACCTTTTTAAAAAGCTCAAATTCACATTAAGAAATGTTTTCATCAGGAAACAAGGGTGTGGGGTGTTACCTGTAGTAACTCAAAGTAGTGCAAACAATGATAGACCGGGATGAGCATGAGGCGTGGGAGGACGTATCGCACAGCTTCTTTAAACCCTTCAGCAGTAGACTGAAAAGGAAAAATAAACAGGATTATTTACAGAGAAATACTCAAAACTGGACTGGAAAAGGCTCTGAGCAACCTGCTCTATTCTGAAGTCAGCCCTGCTCTGAGCAAGGGGGTTGTGTAACAGACACCCAGTGTGTCGTTTCCAATCCACCTCTGCTATTCCAAGGTGAACATCTACATCTCAGGATGAATAAAATGCCTGAATGTATTTCCAGCAATGCTGGAACACCCATTTCCAAAAGAGATGTTTCACTGTGGACCACAGAAATCATTTTGCTGCAGAAGCTAAAAGAAACAGAGTAATATTCAAGACTAATCAGCATTCCTAGATAATCAAGCTTGTCACTAGGTTCTCTCTAAAGTCCTCTCCTTCCAACCACGGACACTGTGCTTCAATTTACATCAGTACAGCGCAGAAATATGGAGGTTTCGTCAAACACAGAAGAAATTATAACCTCTCTCAGAAACAGATTCACAAGTTCATGAGTTAAAAAATGAGTCAGAAATCCCTTCCCATTCCCAGTGGATAACACAGTAATTCAAATAATAAGGAGAGGAGAAAGTTTCCAAAGGATGGTGGAAGCTCTGCTATCCTACATACCAAGGTAACTACTAAACAGAAACCGAATTACCTGCCCTCCTCTTTGGAAATGAGCTCAGCCCCAGTTTAAAACCTTTGGCTGCACCTCTCTGCAGTTGCCCCAGACAGCTCATACACGTCCACGGCCCAGAGCTTGGACCTCTGCCTCCTGCTGAGGAGAGCCAGAGGGGAGGCCAGATTCATTGTTAAATGACTCATTTACCTATTTAAACTGGAAGAGGGCTTTGGGCTTTACAGTCACTTCACTCCAAAGTAATCTTTGAGAGTAAAACGTTCCAGCGTAGCCAGTGCTCAGGGCTGAGGAGGAAACACCCACCCGGGAGGGACGGTTCAGAGCAACCTCAGCCTGTGGGCAGGGATTCAGGCCCCGATAAACTCGGCTCTACCAGGACGGGTTCAAGCAGGGAGCACCAGGGACTGAACATCAGCTCTGCAGCTCCTTTAAGGCCACTCTGAACACAAATTCAGTTTTCTGAACAGCAGATCTGCCACACTGGCTAATGAGGACGATCAAAATACTGTTGCTTGGTGCCTGTGTTTGCCATTAAAGGCACAACAGGGAAGCAGGTGGCATGAGAGGAGTCTCATGGAGCGCACAAAAACCCCGCCAAAGGGTCATGGATGGGTCAGAGCCGCGTCCAGTTTTTGCAAGAAGGGGCAGAGTCCAAATGTCTTGCCCTGATCAAAGGTCAGAATCCAGAGGATTTCTTCCTCTTCCAAAGCACAGGGGGAAATAAACAATTACTGACAAATTCCAAACCTCCAATACATGAGAATCGAAGGCATTCAGTATTTATCTACCCTTACCTGGAAGTGGAGCGCAACAGCAGGTTTGGCCATCAAGTTATTAAAATGCTCATGAAACTGTGGGGAGAGAATATCCTGGGACAAGGTTTCGTAAGGATCAAAGGCTTGCTCCTAAACAAAGAGAGAGAGAATTATATACACAGAAGAAGGATYAAAGATACTTCTTTCCCTGTTGGTATAATTCATGTAATAAGCTCAAACACTGGGGGAACTTTTCAAGAAATGTAAATTTTGAAAAACAAAAACATTCAGTAAACTACTTGTCATAGACTGTAAATTTTAAAAGCACACATTCAGCATTCCCCAATCTCACCATACCTATCACTAACACAAATTTTGCCTTACTGAGGCAACGGGAACCCAGAACAGTTCTGGATTTCAGTCTACTCACAGCCCACAGAGACGAGCAAACCACTGTGCTGTGCCTAGGGGCCCTATGAATTAGACGGCCACTACGCAGCCTGCTGCCAACGTGCACAACGCTGATTAAAGAAGAATTYGGGAAAGGTCAAGGTTAGAAACCCTGCTCCCTGTCGATGAGGAAGGGCACTTGGGAAAGCAGGAGAGGCGGAGGGCGCTCCAGGGAGCTCGTCACAAGGAGGCATCGTTGAACTGGCAACTGGGCGGGCACTGGAGTGAGGCTGCTCCCTCGGGAGCCCTCCACATCTGAGCCCTTTTCTGGCCTTTTTCCAGGCTGGGATGACACCTGTGTAGCCTGTGTGATAGAGCCTGGGGAACGWCCCCCAAGAGGGCTCGAGAGCCTCCTGGGCCTAATACTGTGGGGCCAGCAGGAGCCCTTGGCGCTTGTGAAACCTCTATTGAGAAGCCAAAATAGGTTGAGCAGCGTGTCCAGTAGATTCCTGGAAAACCAGGGAAACCCCAATAGAGTTGAGCTACAGTCCAGCCATTTTAGACACGGTATACTCAGCGATAGGATAAAATAAAGCCTGGATAAGCTTGGGGCCTCCACAGCCTCCTGACAGAAAAATCTCCACCAAAATTTGCTGGCTGCATCGAGCAGTTTGTTCTGTTGATACCACCAAGGTTTTCAGGCACAGAGCTCCGAAGTCTGGATGGAGTATCGAGCTGCAAGCCTGCGGGATGGGCTGCAGGCYGAGTGAGCTGCAATCCCGACTGTCCAAAAGCTTCCAGGAGAATAATTTATGGCTGCCCATAGATCACCTGCTCCAGCACAGGCCAGGCCCTTCCCCAGCCTCCGAGGATTCACGGGGCTGAATCACGCGTGAATCACTGGCTTATCCTGTGTCCATGGCAGCGTGCTCGGGACAARCACATACCTCCTAATGCAAAAGTGCTTGTGAGAACACGTGCTGCGGAGGCTAGGAGCATCACACACCACCAAGGCTACCAGGACCTTTAGGTAAAAGTCTTGGGCCTTCTGCTTGCAGAGGGGCCAGGGGATTTCCTGCCTTGCTCATGGGGCAGCTGTAATTAAACCCTTTGCTGGGAAGAGAGACAAAGAACATCCTCCCCTTCTGCATGCAAATTCTAATCAACGCCGTCAAATTGTCGTCATCGCTGTCAGTCCAAATGAGGTCATATGTYGTGCTGAAATGAAGGGTTTGGTTGGGCAGCAGCCAAAGGGAACCCAAGAGAAGCACTTCACAGAACAGACCCATTTCCCTGAGCAGGATCTGAGGCCAGCTCTGTCCTGGGTGCCACARGGCGCAAGGACAGGGCACAGCTGGAACTGTCCTCATGTCACAGACCTCTGGTTCGTGAACGATCCTCGTGGCCTTTCGCTGGATTCACCTGGATAAATCCAGGTCCGTTTTGCTCTGGGGAGCCTGGCACCGGGCGCTGCTGTTAACGCCTGCAGTTTTGCTGACTGCAACTTTTGCAAAAGCTGCTCAAATATCACGTTGATTTCTGACGTTCATGCTATGGAGACACTTTTACTTGACACCCATATAACTTATATTAAAACAGCAGCTAGTTCTGGATTGGTGCTGTACCTAGCAAGTGGCAGTGGCTCCCACCCTATTCACTGTGTCCATTTCCAAACTGCTTCCAGGAGAACAGCAGGAGCCCTTCAATGCCAGCCCAAAGGCCGCTCGCCCCCGTGCCGGCTTCTCCAGCACTGCCTAGACCTCACTAACAGGGCGATCACGCCCTGTGAAATTGCAAAATCCAGCCCCAAGTAAAAGCAAATCCTAATTTATCATCTGGATATTAACGAATTCCCATTTCCTACTCCTATGCATCAGGCATCACGCTTTTTAATTCCCTCTGCCCCAGGGAAAATTGCTTCATTTTCCCCATGCTTCCTTGTCTCAAAACCATTAAACTATTTTTGTTAAAATCTTTCAGAGAAGCAACATAGAAAAGAGAAAGAGACAAAGCACAAAAAAGGCCACTTGCAAAGGCTAATCACGTTTCCAAATGAGTAAAACAATCTTCTAATGGAAACACTACGGGAGCAAGCCTGGCAGCAACGTAGCCGGAGCAAACACCTCACTTTTCAACCTTTCTTTAATGATCCCTTTTGCACACACTCACAAAAGGAGAATATAAAGATAATTGAACGGGCTGGTTAAGTAGGTCTTACTCTGCGCTGCTTCAGTTTTTAAATTCAAATTTACCACTTGCATGAAAAGGAGTTTTGAAGAATAATTTGTTCCTCAACTCCTAAGWTTTTCAGCTAATAAAAAGCAAGTCATATTTTCAGTCCACTTTAATTCACTGCTCAAACACTTCTCATTACCATTTTATWAGCAATTTATGCTTTTAACATCTTAAAAAGTAAACCAGAATTCCACTAGACTCTTCTACTGATATGTCATATGATCAGTAGCTTAATCAAGTCAGGCCAGCAAAACCTGATCTTTATGATGTATTCATAAAAGGGCTGAAGGTTATATGGGCTGAAGGACACGTATTCTTCCAACCCAAACAAGCCTTAGCTGTTTTGAAGACAGCATTCATGCATTCGCCTGATTTTAAAAGCTAAACATGCATCAAAGTGAAATAAAGAATTTATTTGCTGCTATTATCTGTATAAATGCAGTAATTTTTAGATAAAAACATTAACTTTATGTACTCCATGATACCATGATACGTTCACAGACACAAACACTCACTCAGGTCGGAACACCTTATTTAAATCCGTAAGGTTTAACCTGACTGCCTCTATGTTTTAGCTCAATACACCTTTCGAGAAGRACTAGACTTGATTTAAACATGTTCAAAGACAGCAAAAACTCCACACTTACCTTGATAATTTGTCCCAGGCGTTTGCTACCCTGACATTTGAAAAGATGTGCCTTATTTCTAAGCTGAACTGCCCTGTTAACCTTGAACATGCTGCTTTCTGCTCTGCATTGCTCAGCTGAATTACAGAAACATTTCATACTCTTTTCAGGTCAAGAAGGAACTTATATTCCTGTATTATTTTGACTGAGTGAACTGACACATTGAGCTATCCCACTCTAAAGTACATTTTCAAAACCTTTACTTTTGTGCCTCTTCTGCAGCTCTTCCAGTACTTCAATGCCCTGTTCAAAACACTGACAGAGGGATTGTTAATATTCCAGTACGAGTCTCACCAATACAATTTGCAGTGTCTCCCTTTATTCCTACTCTTTGATACCTACTTTGTAGGTAAACAAATATCAACAGCCCTTTTGCTACAAGACTGCATGGTTCCACTTGCACGTCTGTTTTGATACCTCAGTCCTTCTAACAGCAGAAATATTTCACCGTCTGGATGTGTAATAATGCATATGTGTGAATTAAGGACACATTTTGTTCGAAGCAGGGCAGCTTACAGCTCAAAACAAGTCACTCAGACATCTTGCAGACCTAGGTCCATCCACTGGGATTTTTGCATAGTGCACCAATTCTTAAGGAAAATGAAGTATTGCCTTTTTGAGTAAGCAACTCTGGCTAATTACTTTTCAAATCTACAGCCCTACAGCACTGTAGCTTTCCACTCCTCAAAATGATTCTAGTTTTGTATTTATGYATGTGATACAGTTTCTATGACAGGTAGAAAATACTTGGAGCCTGCTTTAGCCTATATAATAAGGACAAGTAGTGAAGACCTCTGTTCAGAGATTATTAAAAGGACCTTTTACAAATATCAATCCTGACCAACACCTTAAGAAAGCAGAACAATCAATTACTTTAAAAACTCACTTCTGCAAGATCTTCAAAGCAGCTGCCAGCCAAAGGATGAGGGCTACTTTCGTCAGTCATTTCAACAGTATCCTCAATCAGTCCCAAAAGCTTCACAGTCAACTCATGAATATCTGAAATGTTGCTAAATATCACCTCGATATCCTGCAAATACAAAACACACCTTAGCAGTGTTCAGAATTAGGCACTTTATGTAAATACAGAAGTATGTGATGTAAACAGTCCACAAAAGGAGTGTTTTTAGTGAAGCCTGAATCAAGAGACAAGTGAAGAAGAGCCAGCAAGGGGAGGAAGAAAGTGAAGCCCGTGGTTTCCCCAGCCCAGCAGGCTTGTCTGGGCACAAGGAATATTGCAGAACGTGAATCTCACTGAAGGGAAGCTCAGCAGCTTCCCAGGCCGGAGCAGCAGTCCTGCGCAGTGCTGGTTCACTGCTGCAGACAGAAACATCTGGTCCTTTCACCCATGTTCACAGCTGTTATTTTCCTCTCTGCTGATTTTTGTCTTTCAGACTACAACAGGAAGGAGGCAATTTAAAAGCAGCTCTAAGGCCACATCCTCAAAACCACAGGTAAGTCAGCTACTTTAGCTAAACACTACCTGCATTCGGAAGGAGAACTGCCAGCTTCCTTTTTCAAATTTGGTTTTAGATTTTTCAAACTCAAATATCTCAAAACCTTCCAACTCTGCGGTCTCCTCCAATGACCTTTACTCTCCCCTTGGTCCCCCTGAGACACTCTTCCTTAAGGCCTTCCACCTAACTCGTCCCCAGCTAAAACCACAGCTTGCTGTAGCACCAGCAGCCCCAAGAGCAGGACGATCTCTTTATGGGGAGCAGCAATTTGTAAAGTTTTCTTACTCAGGTCTGCATAATGGAAGAATACTCCTCAGCTTCAAACCTTTGCCCCCTTCCTCTCCCATCTTCTTCATTTCTACACTCCGGAGCTAGTCAGCTCCAGGGGACCCTCCATGCTGAGCTATAATGGGAATGTCCCCTGCTACCTCCCTTTCTAGCAGTTCGGTGCTGCCCAGGAGCCCCGCTCGGGTTCTGCTGGCCTGTACCCCTTCTCCTTCCACTCCCATGAAGGATTCTCTAATCTCTCGTTATTTCTTCTCTCACAAGAGCTCCGAGATGTCAAGCAGCTATCAAGGTAGATTTTCCTCCTGGTCAAATGCTAGGGAACCTGAGGACAAGGACTCTGCAGACAGGAGTGCCTGCAGTAGACTTCAATTCAAGCATTCATCYGCCTTCTCTGTGCATGCAGGTAAATAAATGTTATTTTTTGTTTTAAACAGAACTGTTAACATTATGTACTTAACGCAAGGGCATTAGCGAGTGCTGGCATCCAGCAGGGAATCACCTCTATTGCACCTCACTCTGAGAGCAGTCCTCTTCAGACCTTTGATGGCAATTGCTCCTTTTTATTTCACAATCAACTGCTGTTACGCACTGGCATACAACGAATCAAATTTAATTTAACTTCCAATACTGTTTATGTAAAATTGATATGCTATGGCTGCTGATGGAAAAATTACTATCACACAACAATAACCTATTAAATGACTTACATTTGGTGTGAACAGCTTTCTGTTAGATAAGAAAGCTTCCCGAAATACTTTTATGATCAGATTCAACTCCCGCAGATATTGTCTTTCTTCTGCAATTTCGTTTCTCACTAGGTCATAGTAGTTGAGTTCCCCAGAAGAAGAAGGTTCATCTTCACAGAGAGAAACCAAACCAATGTCATCCTGATCAAACATATCCATTAAAACCTAACAAAGAAATTAAAAAAATAAATTAGAGGCAAGCCTGTTTTTTTTTACATTTGGTTCAAGTTCAACTGTTTCAATGTGTCCAGAGAAATCCTTTGAGTTTTTAATACAATACTTTCTGTGACCACTTTCACAAGGGAGCAATATTTAAACTTTGGCAGGAGAAGGCTGCATCAGTTGCCAAAGCCATTTTTCCCTTTATAAGTTAGTAGGGCCTAGAAAACAAGTCACAATTCATACAGAAGCAGCTCTGAAAACAACGCATCTTGCATAAGCTTTTGACAAAACCCTCCTGATAAAGATGGAAATTAAACAAAAACTGTTTCTCAATTTAATCAATATAGAAACTAAAGATCCTTTCTGTGCTATAAAGAAGGGAAGAGCCATTATTATAAAGTGAGGACATTAACACAGATGGTAAATAAAGGACAGCATCATTTTCTGTCCTTAATATTGTTTTATAAGAAGTCCTCCTGTTCCAAAATGTAAACAGGCTTAACTGACAGGTTAAGCCTTCACTGTGACAAGCTTAGCACAGAAAAAAAGAGAAGTTTATGAATATGAATAAGAACAGTGTCTCTCATATCTTATTTTGGATGAGACTTCTAAATACTGCCTCCTGTATCCACCTCCTTTTGTTTTCAAAATACAGTTTTTATCTTATCTCCTTACCTTATCAGCACACATTGATACTTTTATGTCTTGCTGGGAGATCTCAAAGTGTCGTATATTGAAAACATAATTTCCAGCCAGCTTTAAAATGTCAGCTGAGATGTATTCTAAGACAGCCACAATATACAGCGAGACATGGTAATCTACTTTATAACCTAGGACCTCCTGCAAATTGAAAACAAGAAAAAACAACAATGCTATTTATTCCTGAAATTAATTCTGAATAACAATTCACACATTTTGTTTCTGCTGGAATGAATGTTGTCTGTGTTGACAGTTCAGAGCAATGTAACAGCCCAGGCAAAGGGCAGCAAATGAAAATTTCATCAACAGCATCAAAGAAAACACTTGCATATAATTTCCTGTGATATTTTGCCATACACAGCTAGAGAACTTATCATAATCCTTTTCCTAAAGGTAAGCCTTTTAGGGGTCCTTTGAGCAGGGGACATCACTGAAACTACTCTTGTACTTAATGTTACTTGTTGTTGTACTTAAATGATAGTCTATATCTATGTGTATTGCAGGAACCATGCCCCAAGCCTGGACTCTTGAGCAAACAGCACGCTGTATTTTCATTTATTTTTGACAGAAACAAAGTTGTCTTTAGTGGCACTATGGAGTGTGTGCACACGCTGATCCGCCTCAGCCCAGCCATTAACCTTGGCCTATACTAAATGAAAAGCTACCTGCAAACTTCTATTAGTCCCAAATAATAAAACTTAAAGAGGAAAGCCTGAATAGAAAAGAAACCACAACAAGTGTCGCACTTTCTTTTTTTAGCTACGTGCCCCACTTTCGTGCACTGCAGGTACCACGTAGTCATTGTTGTGACAGGACTGCAAGGAATAGACAAGTTCAAATTTTGAATAAATTAATGTCTCTGTCATCCTGTTTTGATGTGTCTTCTAAAAATTACACCCTCTATCTATATCCACACACCTCTAAAGCTGACTTTATGAAAGCCAGTCTTCTCAACATTTTTCTTTCCAAACATTTCTCCCAATCTTATTAACTGCCACATACTAAGACATTGCATACGAGAGTGCAGTGGCATGACTACTCCTGAAAAACTGCTTTAATTTCTGCTTATGCTTGAATGAAGTTTCTCCAAAGCAGCAGACAGACGATGACGTATTCCTCAAGCTAGCTGGAAATGCTGGTGCAACAATGCCACCTCTGGAGAAAGGCAATTCTTTACAGCAGGGAGCACAAACAAAATAAACAGAAGAAAATCTAATCTCCTCCCTTCACCCTGAAAAATAAATAGAAGATCTATCCTCCCAAAACAAAACAAAAAAACACATCACAGTAGTGTAATTCAACTACATGAGTAGTTACTCACTGTGTAATGAGTAAATACTGACTGAATTACACTAGACCTTGACTGTAAGCAAGTTCCACAGCTGTTGTAAGTGACATGACACTTAGGAACCAAAATCGACCCCTTCCTTCTCAAAACCTGTCAATAATGCAGTCCTACCTGGTCTTTTGTTCTGCTTTTGCAAATCTATTGATTTTAAAATGAAGGCATCAGTGAGATTCAACAGTGAAAGGAAATCAATACATATCTTAGCTGATGGTAGATGAGGAACAGGCTCTACTTGTTTCCCATTTTTCTACTTTGACTTCTGCGGCACTTTGAAACAAAGCCCTCTAAACATTGCCACTGAAATAGATAAAGCATCTGCACTTGTTTGGATTTTAGTTATGTTCAAATATAACTGGTCATATTTCAAAGCACAGTAATATATTTACAAATCAAAATCTAGAATATATTGACCTTATGGACTTAGGTTTATTATACACTACAATAGTATGTGCTCTGTTCTAGGGTAACTCTTAACTCCTTCAGCCAACATGAGAAATTTTCGTGAATTCTTACTTGTGTGTAAAAGTACTGTGAATTGAAGAAATACTGTAAAAGCCATGCATTAAAAGTAAGATACAGCTGGGGGGAAGAAGCAGTAGTTACCAGGCTGCTGTTTCAAATACCTTTAATAAAGGATGTATCTTGTCCACAGGCAGCAGGAGGGGGTTTCTTCTTTTCCGTTTCTCTATGGCAGACTGTGCATCAGCAATCGCCCACTTGTCTATTGGATGAGGAAACGTCTTTTGAACACGTTCCTGTCCAAACACATAGGATGCGCTTAGATTAATCACAGTAATCAAAGAGGAGTTAAAAAACAAAACAGAACAATAACCCAGCAAATTGCTTCCTCTGCAGTATGGCTAATTATCCTCCTCCTCCTCCTCAGTGTTTACAATATTTTTTCCTAACTGTTCTTTCCTTCCTACCCAACTTAGCTTSCCTCCTCTCAGCAATTCCAAAAGACCTTTTCCTGAGCATCAAGGACTCCTTCCAGTCTCCTAAAACAACTGCTCTTGATCTTGATGTGAGAGGAGCAGCAAGGAGCCTCGGCTGAGAGAAGGGGCCCAAAATATAAACAACACAAGCAAGCACTAAACAGCTCATGGTCTAAATGAGGAAAAGAAACAAATTATTGATCTAATTTCATAAAAGTCCAGCGTGTAACTTCCACAGTTACACTTGGATTTATGGCAGAAAYAGAAGCAAATGCAGTATCTCCAAGCTGTACGTAGGACAGTGATTCCTGGAGGTGGCTGCTCCAGCTGGAGCTCCTGCCAGCTCCAGCTTTCCCACTTGCATGGCCAGTCACAACACCTGCAATTTGCAGCCCACAACACTATGCTAAATCCCAGTGTCAGGTTACTTCYACATGGATTCTCCTTTCAACAGTGGGCACTACATGAAGAGGCAAGATGAGCTCTGCACCCAAACAAGCAGCTTGGGSCAGGAGTCGCACACCTGAGCACACCCAAATTGAGCCTGCAAGAACCACAGCCCCAGCTTTTCCTGGGGTTGCTCGTGCCAAGTAAATGCACTGCACCCCCTGCCACACACGTGGGCCTAATACCCTAGGCTGGTTTTCTCAGGGTGCTTGGGAAGGAACTTTGCTGGGATTCTGCAGGAAATTTTGTCAGAAAGTGGAGGCAAKGCAGAATTCAGCTGTTGCTTCAATGCACTAATTCACTTCACCGGTAGCATGTATCATTCACACTTGGACTTGACTGGTTCCCACTGTTTTGCTGCAAATGATTCCAAGTGCTTTTTCTCATCTACAAAGTCTGTTATAACTTGAGACTTTAGACCTTGATCTTGCAAATATGTAAGCCTAATATTATGCACAACTAATTCCAGTAACGTGCTGAGTGATAAACATTAGAGACATTAGAGACATTAGAGATCACAGCTCTCAGATTTCCTCTAAAGAGCTAAGAGCAGGCGAGGAGCAGAACCAGAAGTCTTCCGATGTGAATCTGCCGGCAGTGCAGTCCCAAGTACTGCACTGAATTTTCCTCAGTGTCGACCTGGGGAACTCTCTTGTTTTGGAGGGCCTATTATCACTCTTTAGACTCAGCTCCATGTTTTAAATGACGTAACTGTCATATTGCTATGTGCAATAATGTTTTGTTATTCACAACCTGAAGATATCAGGTGTATTTAAAGTAATTCAATTGCATAGCTTTTGTTGTGTTAATTTAGTTGGGATATTTGTAACAGCAACTCAAACAGTTTGTAGTTTTCTCAGAAGATCATGGGTATCGTCTGCGCTATTTTTGCAAACAGTAGTTTGGGGAACTTACATATACACCCCTCAAAAAAAGGATTAATTCCTGTGTACAGAGGGTARTTTTATCAGTTCATGATTCAGAAGCAGAGAACCACAGAGCTGCTGTGGAATCGGTGCTATCTCGAGCTCTCCTGCATGCCAGGTTATTTGATAGKCTGAGAACTGGAGAAAAAACACAAAATTTCTCAGTCTCACCTCGAAAGTTCAAATCCAGAATAATGGTAGCAACGATCCTGAGGGCTGTTAAGGGATTATTAGGTTTTGCTTTTGTTTAGTCATACTATAATCTTCATGCATCGGTATTACAAAATACATTAATCATAAGCCAAACTTAATAATTAATGAATTGAGTCAATGAGGAATACAKGGTATTACTGTATCTAGTAAGAATCTAAAACCCCTTAGGCAATTATTTTGTAAACATATCTTATATTTATTTCCATTACAAATATATAGAATATTCAATGAGGATTTTACTTTGTTGTCGGCAGAAAGCCCTAGACATATAGATGGCTGTAAAATTAATACTCTGCAAAGTCAGTCTATAATGTGTAACAGCTACACGAAATCACTTTCTCTCTCCAGACTGCACACTGAAGTACACTCCATTAAAGCCCTCATTTTGTGGGCGATGACACAAAAGCAGACAGCTGCAATAATACAAGAGCTCCAGTGAGTTCAATAAAGTTCCAGGAACACACGACTCTATTCCCTCGGCTGCAGCATCCAGGCCTAACAACAGTAACCGTTCATTACAATATTTATATTTTTGACTATATTAATGGCAAGATGGAACATCCTTTAATTCTGTTAATTCAATTCTCTTCCAAATTCGTTCTATTAATTCTGTTCATTGTATTCTGAAGACCTCTGTAACAAGTGGCGTTTCCAATTAAACTCGCCTTATGAAAGCAGAATACTGGATAACTTTTCTAAAAAGTCACATTAACAAGCTCTGCTGTTCAGATCTTCCTTGCTTTACCTTCAAAATGCTTTAACTTCAAAATGCTTTGCACCATGCAAAATGCTTAGTTATTCTAAGTGATTCTGTGAGCAAGAACTTCATCCTTCCGTATCCAGCCTTACCTCTACATCTTGGACAGTCCGTGGCTGAGCAATGCATAGTTTGTTTAGCAGCTGAAGTATCAACTCCTCGATATAATAAAGGGAGTCTTCCTTGGCTGAAAGGTTGGGGTGGACCTGCTGCTGAACCTGTCCAAAAGAATTAGCATTTTTTTAATGACAAGTTTTACTGAATGATGAATTGCAGAAAATGCAGAAGAGCTTTGTATCTTTGTGCTGCAAATTCCCACATTTTAGTAATTTTCCACAAGTTTTTCTATGTAGTTAAGACAACATTTCCTGCTTCTGCAAAACTGGTGTCTCTGATTCAAAACTTAAGTGTTTGGCCTTGATGCTTGATGGTTGGGAAGAAATTCCAATGGTGTAAGTCAAGGTAGGCCCCTGCTAAAATGCAGTGAGAACAATGCTCTTGGGAGAGCTCCTTTAATTCTACACTTCTTCACCCACAAAATGAACCAGATACAGTTGAACCTACCACTGCCAAAGAACAGTTAATAATTTGGGAGCAGAGGAGCTGCCTGGGTCCACCAGAGGAAAGGACTCAAGCAACAAGGACACGGGGGACAGAGAACCAACCAGTCAAGCAGGGGACAGAAGTACTGCCCTCCTAAAACACGTGGCCACGACCTTGGAAAACAGCTGGAGCAACCCCTGAGATGCCTCAGAAGCAGAACTAGAGTGTGACAAGCTCCGAGGCATGGGAAAAGGAGGCAGGAAACACAACCCCATGTCAGGGAGAGCCCCAAGGCAACACATGGGTAATAAAYAATACTCGAGTGTCACAACTAGTGAATACACCGTGAGAAAGRGGACTTCTGCCCCCTGAAACAAGGCAGGAAAACACCTTTTATGTCGCTTCACAGAGATTAATCAGAGCTCTGCAGCTAGACCAAATACGCTGAAACAGGCGATGTCAGYACGTGCCCACACGAGCTGAAGGGCCGCAGTGAACTCGTCCTGATCCAGTGTGACTGTTTTCCTACTAAAAATCTCCCGCAAACCAACCCCACCTTAAAAAATACGTGAAGAGTTGGACTAGATACTCAATTTTGCTTGGCAGGYTCTCAATCAGGAAAACGCTAACTAGCTCTTAAACTATAGCCAAAAGATTCATAAAGAACACAATCCAGGGAAATTTCTTACTTTTCCCATACAAATTCCATGATAATCACTTCAAAGAAGTAAYCTGACATACTTAAGAGGGGCATTTCATAGAATCCTTAAGGTTGGAAGGGACCTCTAGAGATCATCTAGTGCAACCCCCTGTACGTGCAGGGTCACCTAGAGCACGTGGCACAGGGTTGTGTCCAASAGGGTTTGGAAGATCTCCAGAGAAGGAGCCTCCACAGTCTCTCTTGGTTGTGGGTCCACCCCTCTCTGGGTTGTGAACCCACATTTCTACGTGGGTTCAAATGCAAGGCCAACGGATTGGTCCTTTCTTAGGGAAAGCCATGGAATACCATCTTTGGTATTCCATCTTTTATTCCAAGAGAAGCCAGGTTGTGCAGGGAACCAGAGCAGCGGTGCCGTCCTGCAGCTCAGCAGCCCAGAAGCAGAGGTAACCACTTGGATGGACAGGTCTGCTAAGCACCCACGAGCACCCTGCACACCCAGGACGCCAAGGCAAACACCTTGGGGGAGGAGGAAAGCGTGAAAACATCTGTTGGTGCTAATTACACKGGAGTTCATGTCACAGAGATTGCACAGGCGTGGTGAGAAGTGGTGACCGGCGTGTGGGCTCCTGCGCAATACGCAGGGTGAACATGTCTCTGGGGTTTCTTTCCACCAACAAGTCACATTTTCAGGGCTTAGTTCTACATTTGAAGAAATGTATTAACAAGGCAGTTCTAAACCACGAGAGGAGGGAAAGCACATACTAGTTCTAATCCAGTTTGGTCACAGAATTTTTCTACAGACCAAAGTGCATCATTTTTTTTTCTTTACCTCAGATATGCATTCTCTGCGTAGTGATTATGGAGTTCATCAGTATACTACCGAAAAAACCCTTTTTGCCCCTTTTAGGGGAGAGCAGCTCCACAGAGAGGGATCTGGGCGTCTTGGTTGACACCAAGTTAACCATGGGACAGCAGGGCCCTCGTGGCCAAGGAGGCCAGTGGGCTCCCGGCTGCATCAGGAGAACGTGGCCAGCAGGACAGGGAGGGGATCCTGATCCTGCCCCTCTGCTCCGCTCTGGGGAGGCCAAACCTGGAGCACTGGGGGCAGCTCTGGGCTCCCCGGGACAAGGGGGACGTGGAGCTGCTGGAGAGGGGCCAGCGCAGAGCSACAGGGATGGGGAAGGGGCTGGAGCAGCTCGTGTGAGGAGAGACCGAGCGAGCGGGGCCTGTTGAGCCTGGAGAAGAGAAGGGTGAGAGGGATCTGATCAACATGGACAAACACCTGAGGGGAGGATGGAGGGAGGAAGGGGCCAAACTCTTCTGGGTGGTGGCCAGTGCCAGGACAAGGGGCAGTGGGGACAAGGTGAAGCCCAGGCAGCTCCGTGTGCCCGTGAGGAAGAACTTGTTTGGTGTGAGGGTGCCCGAGCCCTGGCCCAGGCTGCCCAGGGAGGCTGCGGAGGCTCCTGCTCTGCAGATCTTCCCAAGGCGCCTGGATGCACCCGGGTGCCCCGTGCTCTGGGTGTCCCTGCGGGAGCAGGGGCTGCGCTGGGGGATCCCTGGGGGTCCCTTCCAACCTTGGCCACTGTGTGAAAAAATACCTCCTCCGCAACTACCCTTTGAAAGCACTTACTTAAGACTGCAGGTTTCAAGTGCAGTCTGTGCGTTTTGTGCTCTTCCTGAGCATGAGAGTTTAATTCCCAAAACAATGGAGAGCCAGGAAGCACCAAGCTAAGGTCCTGCCTCCTAACTGCCGTCAAGACGCTATTAGAGCAAAACCATCAGGTAGATAACTAGAAAATAAGCTGGAATGATAGATCCCACGCAGGGAAACCTTCTGACACCCACAGAAACGTCAACAACAGTAGCTATAATAAGAGGAGAAAGAGAAGTTGCACCCCGCTTTGGAGAAGAGAGAAGAGGCCAGTTTATTGTATTATATCCCAGCAATTCTCCTCCTTTCTTGAGGGTCACKCTCTTTAAAAAATAAAGTCACGGCCACTAGGGAAACTGCTTCACTCAAACCCAACTTGGGTTCACAGGCTGAGCAGCTCGTGGTCCATCCCCCTCCGCTTTGCCAAGGGCCCCTGGAGAGCCAAGCAGAGGAGCTCGGAGCCCTCCGCAAACACCGGGAGGGACCTAGGCCTCCTCTAGCCAACACAGCAACAGCTACTGGAGCCAATTTAGCTTCGAAAGGAGCAAAAATGAGGTCAAATCCCAGCATTTCATGATTGGGAGACTACAGAGTCTCTCTACAGATTGAGAGAGCATTCAGAAATCAGCTTTTGTTTGAAATGATACAGGCTAYCTCCAAATGACATGTTTAGAACATTACAGAAGAAAGGTCCCAATGCTGYTCATGGGCAGCCTGCTGCAAGAGGAATTATCTTGACACAGAATAAAGAAAAATACTTTCATAGCAAGATGGGGGCAAAACAAGAAGACAGTTGTAAAAGCCATTTGGTGGCAAATCAGAGGCTGCTGCTCCACCASGGACAAAACACTATTTACAGCAGTCAGCTCCATCCCACCTAAAAGAGCAGAAAACAGAAGCAGAGGATGCTTGCTAAATCTCTGCACACACAGAGACAGCAGGAGGAATAACCGAGCACACGTTTCTTCTGGAAGGCACGGCCACTGAGTCCCAGTTCAAACCGAAATAACGGAATGCAGCTTTATTAGTAGGAATGGAATAATACAATCGTTAACACAGGGCTGATCCTTGATTTGACCTGCAACCACTTCCTTTAGAGTTCAAAATACTTAAAAATACAATGTGCTGCAGATGCAACAACTCTGCAGTAAGAATAGTGAGCAGAAGGTGTCAGAAACATGTTTTTTCACTCTTTCTCTAAAACAACCCAGAGTCCTTGAAGTCATTAAGGGGGAGATTAAGATTAGAAGGACTAGCTGTTTTTCAGTGCTTGTCACTCCCATAAGATCATTCCTTCCTGATCTGTTCCAAAGAATAAGAACAAAATGCCAGGTACAAGCCCTTTAAGCAGGACATGTGAAAAACGGCCTGAAGGCCTTTCTGGGGATTTCAAGGATATGTCCTTATTTTAAATAGGAGCTCCTAAAGCAGCTCTTTCCCTTGCCTCTCTTCTGGACTTCTCCAAATTTCTCCTCAAAGATACTATAACATTCCTTCCTTATAATCCTTTAGTTCTAAGGATTCCTTATTCCTTATAGCTTCCCTTGGTTAAAAAAAAAAAAAAAAAAAAAAAAAGGGATGGGAATGAGAGCTTTTCAAGGACATAACCAGCACTAGCATTACACACAAGCTAACCTTACGTTTTAGGACTGACATAAAGGTAAACTTAATTTTGAACCTTAAGAGTTCTGAGATTCAGACTTCAGGTCAGTAACATCTGATCGTGGAGACAATTTTCAAGTCCTGAGTGTAAACAGATTCACAGAATAGAATATTAGATTTGAAACAAAACAAACAAACAAACAAACAAACAGGGAAAGCTAATTTCTAGATTTCCAGGCCACCAGGACAACTTCATGAAACACCCATTAAATTTTCAAACTTTTCATAACAAAAAGAAAGTTCACTCCTCTTTTCTTACAGTTATAAACCGGAAATTATTTATATTGTTTGGCCTCTTAAAAAACACAGTTACACTGTATCAATGGACAAGTAAMACTTCAGAAGGCTGTTTGTTTACTTAAGAAACACAGCATATAAATTTAGGAGAACAAAAAATAATTAAAACATAAAAGTTAAATATTTACTAGCATGGCTTGGACACAACGTTGCCAAAACTTGTCAGTATTTCCATACACTGTGTTCCAGTTGATAAAAACACAACATTGACACAGAAAGTGGTTCCAGACTTGCCCAGCACCGAGATACTAAAAGCCAGGAAGAAGAAAATACGACCCAGACAAATGGCTCTTTTTAAGCTGGGCTTTTATTCCCCCTTGTCCTCCTTTTCTCCCTAAAGATAACATTGCCCACTAAACCCCCTGAAAAATCAGCTCCACAAGCGTTTTTAATGCATCCGTCAGGATGATTTACACTCATGCTCTGCAGGGAGAGGGGAACCGGTAACTTACAGGCCTGTAATGCTCTTACTCGGTGAAAAATGACAGCATCGATATTCTCAGTTTCCAGGGGAAATTAATACTCTTACAGGCATTTAGAAAGAACCACAAAGATTTCAAGGCTTGAGGAGATACTCCACATAAAAACGYACTGCATTTAAAAAAATAATTATGCTAACTTCTGACTTTACTTACAGTAAGGCCATTTCTAGATGGGCAGTCTTTCTTTAACCAAACTATTAAATGGTAACGGAGGAAAGTGCAAAGAAGGCTCTTCAGCAAAGCAGAATTTATTAAGCGATCTGCAAAGAGCATTTTATGTTTTTGCTGCAGTTCCCCGATCTTGGCTGCATGGGGCAGGTGCTCAAACAGCACCTGGGAAGCAGCTCATCCACCCTGCTCTTGTGTCTCACATACACTGAGAGCGGGAGTGACAACGTRCAGGGATGTCCCATAAACACTCATCCTGAACCACCACTTCTGTGTTGACTGTTTTCTGCCTTCAGCTCTTTCATTACCAAGAGGTACTATATTCTAGAGAATAAAGTTGARGGGACCAAGTAAAAGACACCCATGGTGAGCAGAGCACACCGAGATCCGCGCTCCGATCGCACTGCAGGAYGCAGCCCTCAAACCTGCTGCAAGGAGCGCTTGGTGTGAACAAAACCCCAGACCGATAGTGGTATAAATGCACAGCTGGATTTGCCATTTAGCAGCCCTCGTGGCCCCGCATCCTCTTCCGTAATCCCTAGAGCTGCAGCACGGAACACGCTGCTGCAGCGTCCGCAGGCAGCTCTGGGAGCAGCAGCCTCCGGATCCAGCCCTGCCACAGGGATTTCAGGCTACCGCCGGGGTTTGGCAGGAGCCTCGGAGCATCTCCTGCCGCGTGGCTTCTGGATCTGCTCTGCTCTGCGTTCAGTTTGTGGCTCCTGAAGCATCTTCACCCTCCCGGCTTCTCCATGCAATCCAGGAACACTTCCTTTCGGCAGCGCATTGCATCCCTTCACGCACAGGCCCAGGGAGAAACT